GTAAGTTAGATTTGTTGCATTGTGGTATTTTGTGGTATTTTGTGGTATTTTGTGGTATTTTGCTTGCATTGCTCCTGAGCCTGTTTTGAAGGTGGGAAAACCATGTCTGAGAAAACCGAACCATATGTGCAAGTCAATCTCTCCGATTTCGCTCGTAATTTGTGGGCAGGTTCCCTAAGGGGACTAGATGGACAGTGCAAAGTCCTTCAAACCGTTTCTGAAAGGAACCTTGAAACTTGCACGCCCCTCATGTACGGACGAAAAAGGCATTTCTGCTAAGGACAAAACTCCATGGAAGCCAAACTTGCCTCACTTTAGAAAAGTTACCAGAGCAGTACCGCTTAGCCTCGCCAGCATCCCAGAAGACAAGGGCCATCACCCTCGACGCCACAAATGATAGTCTTGCAAGGAACCAATTTACAAGCGCTGATAACACAACCAATTATTATTATTAATAATAAATGGCCTCTGCCGGGATGACAACTACACCATAGCTCAGTGGTTAGAGCATCGCTGGCTACAAGCGAAGGTCCCTGGTTGGAGTCCTGGTGGTGGCAGTCAATTTTTTCTTCAGACTGTGTGTATGTGTGAGTTTTCTCATCTTTCCTTTTGTTTAGGTCACCTTACACGTGATGATTGTTTAGTTTGCTGGCCTTGCCAATTGTGTCACAACGATGTGTTAGTTCTAGAACATTCATCTGCCTGCATTATTCGTCTTTATATTTCGTAATTTGGCCTCCCCTTCCTCAATGCCCTGATGATGCCTAATGGGGAATATTGGCAAAGTTATTAATTTGGTGCAGCTGAGTGCCTGTTGCCGGAATGGCGGTATTTTCAAGTGCATTATTGTTTTCAAGGGCAAGGAATACACTGCAATGGAGTTTGGGAATTCTGAAGAAATAATAATAATTTGAAACTCGGGTATTGAGCCAATAATAAAAGTAGAAAGGAAAAGGACATATGGAAACGAGTTAAGAGTAACTCTCTCTCCACCACTGTAACTAGATACTATATACAGTCAGAAAGTGCAGCAACTAGGCACAAAACTGACAGAGTACTGAGACATTCGACGTCCTGACATCTAGTTACAGTGGTGGAGAGTTACTCTTAACTCGTTTCCATATGTCCTTTTCCTTTCTACTTTAATAATAATAATAATTTGGAAAGGATTGGGAGAACTTCAAATTCAAAGGATCAGTCGGGGAAGTGAACTGCCTGAAAAGAGAAAAAAACGCCTGGACTCGAACCTGGGACCCTGGGAGAACTTCAAATTCAATTTGAATTTGAAGTTCTCCCAATCCTTTCCAAATTTAATCACTTTCTTTCACCTCTGGTAGTTTCCAGAAACTGACCGTGGTTGATCCCCTGGGTGAGGGAAAAAGACCCAAGTGCCATCAGTATGTGTGGCACGTGTTGTGAACTGCCTTTGGAGTGAAAAACTTGTCAGCGCCTTCTGGGTTTAGCCTGGTCCCATAGCTCAGTGGTTAGAGCATTGCTCATGACAAGCAGGGTCCCAGGTTCGAGTCCTGGTGGGTCTGGCGTTTTTTTCTCTTTTCAGGCAGTTCACTTCCCCGACTGATCCTTTGAATTTGAAGTTCTCCCAATCCTTTCCAAATAATAATAATAATAATATTAACTGGTTTCAGGGAAAGAGACAAACGGGAAAAGTCTGAAGAAAAAATTGACTGTCACCACCAGGACTAGAACCAGGGACCCTCGCTTGTAGCCAGCGATGCTCTAACCACTGAACTATGGTGTAGTCGTCATCCCAGCAGAGGCCGTTCAACATTTTCTATAATAATAATATTAAGAATAATGTCTGTGGGTACAGTGAGGGCTGCGTCCCACCCGCCTGTGTGGATTCACAGGAAGTATGAGTTACGAAGTCTGAAGAAAATGCTGAACAGTCTCTGCTGGGATGACGACTACACCATAGCTCAGTGGTTAGAGCATCGCTAGCTACAAGCGAGGGTCCCTGGTTCGAGTCCTGGTGGTGACAGTCAATTTTTCTTCAGACTTTTCCCGTTTGTCTCTTTTTCTCAAACTAGTGAAAATAATAATAATAATAATAATAATAATAATCTTCAAACGCCTTTTTCCTTCAAACTAGTGAATAATAATAATAATATAAATAGTAATAATAAAGGGTTTGCTCCCCACACCGGAGCTCGCGCTATTCCGCCGACTTTACTTGACACTTGATTGACTCACGACTGCCATCCAGAGCACACGAGAAGTCCATCGAACCTTCGACTCGGCAAACCTGCAAGAAAGCACCACTCCCTGCTCAATACACAGGGTTTCGGGGAATTCACCCCTCATCAGTTGAGCTTGTATAGTGCTCTCCAGGCACATCACCAGGGATACAAACTTACAGAGACGCTCCGTTTCCAGCGTAACAAACACCTCGTGAACACCAGATAGCAGCGTGGGTCATTGTTGCTCCTGGACGGTGAGACAAACATCGAGGACCCTCGGTCATTCGCAACGCTGTCACCTCCAAACCAACTAGTCGCAAGCCCGCGCTGGGCACAACAGTACGAAGTAGTGGTTGGGACTTCGGCGATGATTTGTAAGATAGGGTTTGCTCCCCACGCCGGAGCTCGCGCTATTCCGCTGACTTTACTTGACACTTGACTGACTCACGACTGCCATCCAGAGCACACGAGAAGTCCATCGAATCTTCGACTCGGCAAACCTGCAAGAAAGCACCACTCCCTGCTCAATACACAGTGTTTCGGGGAATTCACCCCTCATCAGTTGAGTTTGAGTAGGCTGAGGAAGATTGTGCCTGAAGAGCACCACTTATATAGTGCTCTCCAGGCACAAACATCACCAGGGATACAAACTTACAGAGACGCTCCGTTTCCAGCGTAACAAACACCTCGTGAACACCAGATAGCAGCGTGGGTCATTGTTGCTCCTGGACGGTGAGACAAACACCGAGGACCCTCGGTCATTCGCAACGCTGTCACCTCCAAACCAACTAGTCGCAAGCCCGCGCTGGGCACAACAGTACGAAGTAGTGGTTGGGACTTCGGCGATGATTTGTAAGATAGGGTTTGCTCCCCACGCCGGAGCTCGCGCTATTCCGCTGACTTTACTTGACACTTGACTGACTCACGACTGCCATCCAGAGCACACGAGAAGTCCATCGAATCTTCGACTCGGCAAACCTGCAAGAAAGCACCACTCCCTGCTCAATACACAGTGTTTCGGGGAATTCACCCCTCATCAGTTGAGCTTGAGTAGGCTGAGGAAGATTGTGCCTGAAGAGCACCACTTATATAGTGCTCTCCAGGCACAAACATCACCAGGGATACAAACTTACAGAGACGCTCCGTTTCCAGCGTAACAAACACCTCGTGAACACCAGATAGCAGCGTGAGTCCGTGTTGCTCCTGGACGGTGAGACAGACGTCGAGGACCCTCGGTCATTCGCAACGCTGTCACCTCCAAACCAACTAGTCGCAAGCCCGCACTGGGCACAACAGTTCGAAGTAGTGGTTGCACAAAAAGCCCTTTCAACCATTGTATTTTGCTGATAAATCTTCCCTGACATGTTCTGACACTATGGGAATTACGAACATGATTGCAAGAAGCAACAGATGAAGGTTGGAAGCATTTCATTGCTCTCAATGTAAACCTGCCTCTTTCGTAGAGAACGCCTTGTTTGGGCTACTTTGGGGGGCCATAACCCCTCCAACGTGCCCAATTACATACCCTAATATATTGATTTTCTCATTCTGGACACCCATAGCATTGCAAAAAAAGGCGTTGGTTAAATTTCGGAAAAAGTATTTCAGCATCAGCTACCGCAAGAGAGCATGTCTGAGAAAACCAGAACATTTGTGCAAGTCGTGCTCTCAGATTTTGCTCAAAATTTTCAGCTAGGTTTGCTTTGGGGTGTAGATCGACATTCCAAAGCCCGTGAGCAATCTTTTGAAGGGAGCCATGGAATTGGCATACCCCACAATATTGGCCCGATATTGCCACGATTTATAGGTCTACAAACGAGCCACGGCACAGCGTACAAGAACAAGCTACGAACAACACTCCACCAAGCCAACATTACCTCACCTTAGAAGAGTTCTTCGGGCAGCACCGCTTAGCGATGCAAGCATCACAGAAGACAAGGGCAATCATCCCTTGACGCTACAAATGATTGTCTTGAAAATAGCCAAATTGCAAGCGCTGATAAAACAGCGAACTGCGTCCTCAATTAGCAACCACTGTACACCGGCAGATAGTAGAACACCTCTTTTAGCACTGAGGACATGTCCCCCATCATCCATTTTGGGTTTTCTTGAAATAATGGATTTAAAATTTTTCCACACGAGCATTCAGAAATACGTCCAAACTCATACCTGCGCAGGAAAGCTCGCCCCTCCGCGACGTCTAGTCAGCAATTATTTCTACTCCAACACCACTCACAACACTGCATAACAAAATGTTGTGGTGCGACTTGGTCCCGCAACTAACCATCGTCGTGCAGACCACAAAAACCAGAAACTCCTTTACTTCGACATTACCACTCGTTCCAACAAGAACACCCCAAAGAACACTCGAACAACGATCGCCAAATCGCTGTCCTGAGCAAAACGTGCAGCGTGCGTGCACGTGGCTTGCGCCGCATGCATGCACCCAACGACGTGGCATAGAGAGAAAATGCAGCGTACAGAAAATGCATGAATCATCGTAGCCATAGAGATACTAAATATGGTGAGTCTGAGTGCAGCGCGGGGTGCAGGTGCAACAAAAAGAAAAGCAATAATTTGAATGCAGAATAAACAGAAACTCGCAATCTGCTGAAGTGAAAGAATAAAGAATTGTTGATAACGGAGGTGAAAACAGTGTCTGTCAAGCGGTGCTTGCACCCAACGACAGGGTGACAGCACACCCTGTCAGCGAGATCGAGAGTAAGGTTCGCCAAGTAGATCGTAGCGGAGTTGCCGCGGATGGCGATAATGCAACGATCCAAGTACTAGTAAGTACATGTA